AAGTCGAAGCGCGAAATGGTGAGGGTTCACTGTATTTCAGTTAAGAGTTCAACATGTAACCACTACACCAGAACTGCTCCATAGTGGGGCTTGTGAGTGTGTGTGGTTGTGGTTGTTTGCTCTAATCTTTATGAAAGCAGATTTCTGGGCTCTTCCTCTGCCGAGCCACCGGTGGGCTCAAGCCTACACCTTCAGTAGCCACGTGTGGACCATGAGTGTCCCCAGAGACCTGCCAATAACTACAGAGTTGAATGATTTACAACCAAAGCAGGCCCAGAGAGACCACGTCGAAAGAAAAAGAAAGGGAGGAAAGAGAGAAGGAACCTAAGAAAACACCCACTGAAAGTGAGACACTGATTTTAATCATTGGTTGATGGTTGGACGGACTTGCCTTGGGAATACCTCTCCAGGCCTGTGCCTATCAGGTTGAATTACTCACTGGCTGAGCATTGACCATAGATGTTTCTTGGAAGGAGCCATCACCAATGATTACCCTGAAATGTTCTAATCAAGCCGAGGACATATCACTGTGAAAGGAGACAGTGTAATCTGTTGCTGGGGCCAGTGCTTTCCGGGCCAATCACTCAGTGCCTTAGATCACTAACCCGCTTTAACCCAAACAAGCTTCTGACGCTCATTGCAGCAGACAGCCCCACAAACGTGGGACTTGTTGTATCAAGTTCATTAGCTAGAGTCTACAAGAGGCAGGCATTACAGGAGCAATGTCATATTCATCGATGTCAACTAACTCGTCTAGGTTATCATGAAGGCTTCTCTTTAGGTCAAAGAAAATTGTAGGGGTTGTGGGATTCCATTATAAACCAAATTAAAACCCTAAAGAGCTAGTGGGAGTAAAATTTGAGGTGACTTGTAAACTCTCCTTTTCAAAAACAAAGGTAATGACTCTGGGACTTGGCTAAGTCCCGGCCCACTCAGCTCAGGAAGCATCCCTCTCGTGGAATGGCAGCCAGCCAGCCATTGCTCCCAATGCTGTGGGGGACACCTCACCATCAGAAAAGTGCAGTGCATGCTGGGATTGTTGCGGGGAACGACTTCACATGGCTCTTCCAGCCATCGTCTTTGAAACTCCCACCAAATGACTGGGTGGGACCATGCAGATGAAGTGTATTTCCTGTTTTCTTGTTGGGTCTGGGTAGGAGAAGGGGGGATAGGAGGCTAGTCGTATTTTATGATCCAGTTGTGAGTGGTGGGGTCATAATATGGTGATCATAAAAACCTGGAACTCTAATATGAGGGTTGGTCAGTTTTACCATTCCACTAAGTTTAAAATGAACCATCTCAGAAGCAGGAAGGAGAGATTTCACTACCATCGAGGAAGAAGCAGGAGGAGAGTGTATCCTTTGGATCTTAAGGTTGAACCTACTCAATCCAGGGAAGGAGAACTGTGACATCCAGAGATGACAGAAGCAGCAGCTGCAGCAGGTCCAAGACCAGAGCAGGAGACAGCTCTGAGCATCTCTGCTCACAGAACTATTAACGTCTGAGTCCCTTTAGCAAGTGGTTCACTTGAAAAGCAGGTTGCCGCCAGCCACTTCGTTGCAGGAGCTAGGTTTGCCGACCCACGGGAGCTGAAGCCTAA